TAGCAGAATACATTTTTTGTTTATAGCGCCAAAAATAAAAAGTGCACAGGTGATCAAATACCACCAAAAGAAAGCTCTATTTGTGTGAAAAAAGGACATAAATTTCATTTATGTACAGTATTACATGACCGCGCAATTGTTCATTAAACTAGTGCAGCACTGTATAGCAAATAAAAAGGCGTAAATTGCAGTATCTATACCATAGTTTGTAGACGCTATAACTTTCACACAAAGCAATCAATATACAATTATTAGGAATTTTTTTTACCAAAAACATGTAGCAGAATACATTTTGACCTAAATATATAACTAATTTTGAGTTTACTATATATTTTTTTTTTAACGAAAGTAAAAAAAAAAATTGTTTTTCTTCAGAATTTTCAGTCTTTTTTCATTTATAGCGCGAAAAAATAAAAAAGCGCATCGGTGATCAAATACCACAGAAAGAAAGCTCCATTTGTGTGAAAAAAGGACGTCAATTTCGTTTGGGTACAGCATTGCATGACCATGCAATTATCGGTTGAATTAGTGCAGCACCGAGTAGCAAAAAGAGGACTGGTCATTAAGGGGGGTAAATCCTCTGGAGGGCAAGTGGTTAAACTTTACCGATCTTAACGGGCCAGAACCTGACTAAAAAAAATCTCTCTACTCATAATATCTGCACGCAATGACCCCCAGACATTAAAGGGACGATATAAATTAAAAAGCAACTCTACTCAAACATTAAAGAGGGATAAACATTAGATATCTGCACGTTAAACCTTGCCGATGTTAAAGGGCAATTATACATAAAGGGTAACTAAACTACACAACCTCCACATATAGATCTAAGCGATCTTAAAGGGCCAGTGTCCATTAAATGGTAACTCTCCTCCAAAATTAAAACTTAGTAAAAAAAAGTGTAGTTCTGGAGACTCTGGGGTACCGGCTAGCCCAGATAAATCGCATAATCCTTGCCTGAATCTGCCAGAGGAAATTCGGCTGAACATACTTTCAGCCTCCAAAGAAGCACATAAGTCCAGTTCTACAGCTAGGGTGTCTCGAGTACATTTATGGGCCGCAGATGGTTGCATCTTCCACCGAGCATCCGCCAAGGCCAGAAGGGAATGAAGTTCAGAAAGGCGATGTTTCCGTTCCCGCTTCCGAGCCGCAGCCAGCTGTATAATGTGGCCCTGCACTGTAGCTTTATGAGCCTCCCACAGGGGCACCACCGAAGAAACAGATCATGAGTTGTCTGCAAAATATGTCCGTATAAAAGATTCAATTTGTTGATAGGTGACCTGAGTGGTCAATAAAGACTCATTAATACGCCAATGAAAGGAGTACCATGCCATACCCGATAGTGTGAGAAGTAGGACCAAGGGATCATGGTTCGACCAGGGTAAGGAAGGGGTACAGTGAATGAAATAAGTATTTGATCCCCTGCTGATTTTGAATGTTTGCCCACTCACAAAGAAATTATCAGTCTAAAAATTGAATGGTAGGTGTATTGTAACACTGATAGACAGAATAGCAACAAAAAATTAATAAGAAATGCATGTCTAACAAATTATGTACTGATTTGCATGTTCATGAGGGAAATAAGTATTTGATCCCCTTCACAAAACATTATTATTATTATTATATTACACAGCATTTATATAGCGCCAACAGTTTGCTTAGGGCTGTACATTACAGTGGGAGACAATACATGAGACAGTACAGTAACAATACAATAAAATACAGGAGGGGTTCGAGGGCCCTGCTCCTTGGAGCTTACAATCTAGGAGGGAGGGGAGAGTGGTACAGGAGGAAATAGCTGTGGGGATGGAGTGGTGGGGAGAGCAGAGGAGATCAGCAGTTAAGTGAGGGCGGGGTAGACTTCTCTGAAGAGATGGGTTTTCAGGGTGCGCCTAAAGGTGAGGAGGGTAGGTGACAGTCTGATGGATTGGGGTAGTGAGTTCCAGAGGATGGGGGAAGCCCTGGAGAAGTACTGGAGATGGGCATGGGAGGAGGAGACCAGGGAGCTGGAGAGTAGGAGGTCTTGTGAGGAGCAGAGAGTGCGTTTTGGGTGGTAGATGGATATCAGGTCGGTGATGTAGTTTGGGGCAGTGTTATGAACAGCTTTGTACATCAATGTTAGTATTTTGAATTGTATGCATTGGGCAATCAGAAGCCAGTGGAGGGGGTGGCAGAGAGGGGTGCGGTTATGGAGATATGGAGCGGTTGGTAAGGTGGATGAGTCTGGCCGCAGAATTTAGGATAGACTGAAGCGGGGATAGCCTTTGTTGGGGTAGGCCGGCGAGGAGGGAGTTACAGTAGTCAAGTCGTGATATTATAAGGGAGTGAATGAGTTGCTTTGTAGTTTCTGGAGTTAGGAACGTACGTATTTTGGAGATGTTGTGGAGGTGGAGTCTGCATGAAATTGTCAGCGATTGGATCTGGGGCTGGAAAGACAGATTGGAGTCTAGAACAACACCTAGTACTCTGACTTGCGGGATGGAGCTGATGGTGGCGTTGTTGGTCGTGATGGAGAGGTCAGGGGGGGTGCGGGCTGGGGGGAAAACTAGGAGCTCGGTTTTGGCAAGGTTTAATTTGAGGAAGTGGAGTGACATCCAGTCTGATATGTCGTTCAGAAGGCTAGTGATTCGGGCGGAGACTGAAGGGGTGAGGCGAGGGGTAGAGAGATAGATTTGAGTGTCAACGGCATAGAGATGGTAGTTGAAGCCGTGGGAGTGTATCAGTTGACCAAGGGAGGAGGTGTAGATGGCTACAGTACTTAGTACTTAGATGACTTAGTACTTGACTTAGTACTTGGTGGCCAAATCCCTTGTTGGCAATCACAGAGGTCAGACGTTTCCTGTAGTTGGCCACCAGGTTTGCACACATCTCAGGAGGGATTTCGGCCCACTGCTCTTGGCAGATCCTCTCCAAGTCTTTAAGGTTTGGTGGCTGACATTTGGCAACTCCAACTTTCAGCTCCCTCCACAGATTTTCAATTGGATTAAGGTCTGGAGACTGGCTAGGCCACTCCAAGACCTTAATGTACTTCTTCTTGAGCCATTCCTTTGTTGCCTTGGCCGTGTGTTTTGGGTCATTGTAATGCTGGAACACCCATCCACGACCCACTTTCAATGCCCTGGCTGAGGGAAGAGGTTTCTCACCCAAGATTTGATGGTACATTTCCCCGTCCATTGTCCCTTTTATGCGGTGCAGCTGTCCTGTCCCCTTAGCAGAAAAACACCCCCAAAGCAGAATGTTTCCACTACCATGTTTGACAGGTGGGATGGTGTTCTTGGGGGTCATAGGCAGCATTCCTCCTCCTCCAAACACGGCGAGTTGAATTGATGCAAAAGAGCTCGATTTTGGTCTCATCTGACCACAACACTTTCAACTAGTCCTCCTCTGAATCATTCAGATGTTCAATGGCAAACTTCAGATGGAAATGGACATGTTCTTTCTTGAGCAGAGGGACCTTGTGGGCACTGCAGGATTTCAATCCTTGTCGGCGTAGTGTGTTACCAATTGTTTTCTTGGTGACTGTGGTCTCAGCTGTCTGGAGATCATTGACAAGATCCTCACGTATAGTTCTGGGATGATTCCTCACTGTTCTCATGATCATTGACACTCCACAACGTGAGATCTTGCATGGTGCACCAGACCTAGGGTGACTGACAGTTGTTTTGTGTTTCTTCCTGTCAGGAATGGACTCAGCACTGGTGGTGGGACTCACCTGCCATGTGGGCTGCTGTACCAGGGCTGCCAGCGGGTGCTCTCAGCAGCCAGAAGCTCACTCCTGCAGTCAGCCAACACCTGAAGCTGATTGCAGGAAGTGTATTTAAGGAATGACCAGGCCTGTGATCAGGGCCTTGGTGTATGTTTCCTATGAGCCCCTGTACCTGGTATCCTGTGTTCCTGCCTCGTTGCTGACCCTGCTTTGATCCTGACCTCTGCTGACCATCTCCTGTTGAACCCCTGGCTTGCCTGACCATCCTTCTGCCTGATCCTCAGTACCGCGCTGCCCCCGCTACCTGCTGAACCTGGCTTGTGACCCCGACCATTCTCTGCTTGCTCCTCCTGTACCATGCTGCCTGCACATTTCTGGTCATACCCGGATCCCTAACAGAACACCAAGGCCAGTCCTGACCAGAAGTGGCCGCACAGGGAAGCCATCTTGGCTTATTGTTGTGAAGGATGCATCCTGATGATGTTGTATATTTGTGTCTGCTAGTCTTTGATGACAGAGATTATGTCTATGAGACTCTGCAGGAGTATACCAGGGATCAGCTGCTAGAATGCATACGGATCACTTATTTTCTAGTGGATCAGGGCACAGAGTTCTCTGAGGTGCAGCCATTGATTCAGGTTTGTGCAGAGTTGGCTTCGTCTGGTGCCCCTGAGGGCAGGGATAACTTTTTGCCGCCATTTAGTGCAGACCAGGTAGAGTCCATGGTATGGTTATTAGAGGATGATGTGGATTGCTTCTTGGAGCGTTATTCTGCATGTTCACAACAGGTGCTAAGAGATTGTATAAACACAGTGCAGTCTTTGACCAGACAGGCTTTGTGTAAGCTGAGCTTTGTTCAGCCAGTACTGCAGACATGGTCGGATTTGTTACACCCAGCCTCAGTCAGCTTGCAACAACCCAGTCCTGCTTCTAACCATTACTCTGCTCAAAGCTCTCTTCCTCCAGTTCCCACAGCACCCCCAGTGACAGCCGAGTATACCCTGCTAGCTACCACAAGACAGTCCCCTGCTCCCACTCGCTGCACCTATCCTGCCTTTTACCCTGTAAAGAAGCCCTCTGTAGCAACTGCTCCCTCCTTTGTTCCATCCCCCAGCTCTTCTCTGCCTACAGCTGCTCTATCTGTTTACAAACCTGCACTTACTTACAGTGCTCCAGTAACTAAAACCAGGAAAAGGCGAAAATTCTTTCCAACCAGAACCATCCTGCCAGTATCCAAACTGGTCAGTCTGCTGTCTGAGAACCCGCCTTCCATGGTTCAGCCTGATACCCTGATGCCTGATGACCCAGTGTACGTTACCCAGCCTGATGGTTCTGCCCGGCCTGATGGTTCTGCTCGGCCTGGTGGTTCTGCCCGGCCTGATGGTTCTGCCTGGCCCAATGGTTCTACCCAGCCTGATGGTTCTACCCAGCCTAATGTTCCTACCCGGCCTAATGATCCTATCATGCCAGATGACTCGGTGCCTGCTGTCGAGCCAGATAACCTGATGCCAGATGACCCGGTGCCCGCGGTTCTGCTAGATGACTCGGTGCCCGCTGTCGTGCCAGATGACTCGGTGCCCGCTGACGTGCCAGATGACTCGTTGCCCGCTGTTCTGCCAGATGACTTGTTGCCCGCTGTTGAGCTTGGTGACCCGGTGCCCGCTGTTCTGCCAGATGATTCATTGCCCGCTGTTCTGCCAGATGACTCAGTGCCCGCTGTCGTGCCAGATGACTCGGTGCCCACTGTCGTGCCAGATGGCTTGGTGCCCGCTGACTTGCCCAGTGACTTGGTGCCCGCTGTCGTGTCAGATGACTCGGTGCCCGCTGTCGTGCCAGATGACTCGTTGCCCGCTGTTCTGCCAGATGACTCGTTGCCCGCTGTTCTGCCAGATGACTCGTTGCTTGCTGTTGTGCCAGATGACTCGGTGCCCGCTGTTGTGCCAGATGACTCGGTGCCCACTGTCGTGCCAGATGGCTCGGTGCCCGCTGACTTGCCCGGTGACTTGGTGCCCGCTGTCATGCCAGATGACTCGGTGCCCGCTGTCGAGCTTGGTGACCCGATGCCCGCGGTTCTGCTAGATGGCTCGGTGCCCGCTGATGTGCTCGATGACTCGGTGCCCGCGGTCGTGCCAGATGACTCGGTGCCCGATGACTCGGTGCCCGCTGTCATGCCAGATGACTTGGTGCCGCTGTCGAGCTTGGTAACCCGGTGCCCGCGGTTCTGCCAGATGACTTGGTGCCCGCTGACGTGCCAGATGACTTGGTGCCCGCTGTCGTGCCAGATGACTTGGTGCCCGCTGTCGTGCCAGATGACTCGGTGCCCGCTGTCGTGCCAGATGACTCGGTGCCCGCTGTCGTGCCAAATGACTCTGTGCCCGCTGTCGTGCCTCTGCCCGCTGCCCAGCCTGACGTGCCTCTGCCCGCTGCGCAGCCCGATGTGCTTCTGTCTGTTGCGCAGCCGGATGTGCCAGCCCCTGATGTCCAGCTAAACTGGCCAATAACTGATTCCCAGCCTGCTCCTGGAAATCCTGTGTCTAGCGACCTGCCTTCCTGGGTTCCCCTACATAAAAAGAAGTCTGCCAGCAGGAAACCCAGCCAGCTGGTTGACTCCGGCAGTAAGATATCCAGCCAGTTACCTGACTCGGGCGGTGGAACATTTTGCCCACTAAGGACTGTTTGCTGTTTGGAGCGTCCTGAGGCCGCTCCTTGAGGGGGGTACTGTCAGGAATGGACTCAGCACTGGTGGTGGGACTCACCTGCCGTGTGGGCTGCAGTACCAGGGCTGACCAGCGGGTGCTCTCAGCAGCCAGAAGCTCACTCCTGCAATCAGCCAACACCTGAAGCTGATTGCAGGAAGTGTATTTAAGGAATGACCAGGCCTGTGATCAGGGCCTTGGTGTATGTTTCCCATGAGCCCCTGTAACCTGGTATACTGTGTTCCTGCCTCGTTGCTGACCCTGCTTTGATCCTGACCTCTGCTGACCTTCTCCTGTTGAACCCCTGGCTTGCCTGACCATCCTTCTGCCTGATCCTCGGTACCACGCTGCCCGCTACCTGCTAAACCTGGCTTGTGACCCTGACCATTCTCTGCTTGCTCCTCCTGTACCACGCTGCCCGCACGATACCGATCCGGCCTGTCTGACTATGCTTACTTCACCCGACGATCCATCCATCCCGCACAGATCACCTTTAGTAAGTCTGCCTGCCTCTTCTCATCAGACTCCGTTCCTGCACTCCCCTGCCAGTACTCTCTACCACAGCCGGATGCACTCAGGGGTCGCGACCTGGTTCCAGTCTACACCAAGTCCATCCCCACCATCAAGGGCCCTGGTGAATAGCAGGCTGGGACGTAGACTCCGCGCCCTGAGGAAATCCGTGCTGTGGGCTGCTAGAGACACTACCAGGCGGCACCTGACAGTACCTTACGGCCTGCCTGACCATTCCACCTCTCCATCCTGACTACGCCTGTGTTCCTGAAGCCTGTTACTTCCCTGTGTCAGTCCACACATTTCTGGTCATACCCGGATCCCTAACACTTCCATTTGCGAATGATTGCACCAACTGTTGTCACCTTCTCACCAAGCTGCTTGGCGATAGTTTGTTGCCCAATATAGCCTTGTGTAGGTCTACAGTCTTGACCCTGACATCCTTGGACAGCTCTTTGGTCTTTACCATGGTGGAGAGTTTGGAATCTGATTGTTTGATTGCTCTTGTGGACAGGTGTCTTTTATACAGGTAACAAAATGAGATTAGCAGCACTCCCTTTAAGATCTTGTTACCTGTATGAAAGACACCTGGTAGCCAGAAATCCTGCTGAATGGTAGGGGATAAAATACTTATTTCTCTCATGAACATGCAAATCAGTGTATAATTTGTTAAACATGCATTCTTTTGTTGCTATTCTGTTTCTAAGTGTTACAATACAACTACCATTCGATTTTTAGACTGATCATTTCTTTGTGAGTGCACAAACATTCAAAATCAGCAGGGGATCAAATACTTATTTCTTTCACTGTAGATATTATTATTATTTCAGGTACTAAATTGTGCAAGTTCTCCCACTTAAAAAGATGAGAGAGGCCTGTAATTGGCAGCATAGGTAGACCTCAACTATGAGAGACAAAATGAGAAAAAAAAAATCCAGACAATCACATTGGCTGATTTGGAAAGAGTTTATTTGCAAATTATGGTGGAAAATAAGTATTTGGTCAATTTCAAAAGTTCATCTCAATACTTTGTTATATATCCTTTGTTGGCAATGACAGAGGTCAAATGTTTCCTGTAAGTCTTCACAGCGTTGGAACACACTGTTGCTGGTATGTTGGCCCATTCCTCCATGCAGATCTCCTCTAGAGCAGCGTTTTTCAACCACTGTGCCGCGGCACACTAGTGTGCCGTGAGATATTGTCTGGTGTGCCGTGGGAAAAAATTCCAATTTCATCTGTAACATGTGGCTTCGGCTCACAAATAGACCAATCATTAGAATCTAATGATTCAGTGGTCGGCAAGCCGCGGCTCGCGAGCCACATGCGGCTCTTTACCCAGTCTAATGCGGCTCTTCTGTGTGCCGGGCGCCTGCTCCCCTCCCTCCTCTCGGTCGGAACCGCTCCCCCCCTGCCTCCTCTCGGTTGGCAGCCCCAAAAGTGTGGCAGCCCCAAAAGTCCGCGCGGACCTTTTAATCCGGCTTGCGGATGTGGCTGTCAGGATGTGTGTAGGCGGGGCAGCGTGCCGAACGTGAGGGGAGGGGAGCTAGGCTCCTCTCACAGTCCGCCCTGAAGACCCGAACGGCGCGGGAAGACAGCGAGAGGAACGCAAAAGGTAAGTGAATTGACACGGGGGACTTGGCTTACTAGAAGGGGGGGGGGGGGAATAGTACTGTGGGGGATGAAAATACTTATATGAGGGATGAATTACTTTATGAGGGATGAAATACTATATGGGGGGATGAAATACTATATGGGGGATGAATTACTATATCAGGGGATGAATTACTATATGAGGGATGAAATACTATATGGGGGGATGAAATACTATATGGGGGGATGAAATACTATATGGGGGGATGAATTACTATATGAGGGATGAAATACTATATGGGGGGATGAAATACTATATGAGGGATGAAATACTATATGGGGGATGAATTACCTATATGAGGGATGAATTACTGTATGAGGGATGAAATACTATATGGGGGGATGAAATAATTATAAAATAATTTCTTTGTGTTTGATTACTATTCAAGAGAATTACTTTATATATAGTCAATATAGGCACAGAGGTAATTTTTTTTAACATTTTCTAATGGTGGTGTGCCTCGTGATTTTTTTTCATGAAAAAAGTGTGCCTTTGCACAAAAAAGGTTGAAAAAACACTGCTCTAGAGCATTGATGTTTTGGGGCTGTTGCTGGGCAACACGGACTTTCAACTCCCTTCAAAAGGTTTTCTATGTGGTTGAGATCTGAAGACTGGCTAGGCTACTCCAGGACCTTGAAATGCTTCTTACGAAGCCACTCCTTCGTTGCCCAGACGATATGTTTGGGATCATTGTCATGTTGGAAGACCCAGCCATGTTCATCTTCAATGCCCTTGCTGATGGAAGGAGGTTTGCACTCAAAATCTCACGATACATGGCCCCATTCATTCTGTCCTGTACATGGATCAGTCGTCCTGGTCCCTTTGCGGAGAAACAGCCCCAAAGCATGATGTTGCCACCCCCATGCTTCACAGTAGGTATGGTGTTCTTTGGATGCAACTCAGCATTCTCTCTCCTCCAAACACGACGAGTTGTGTTTCTACCAAACAGTTCTATTTTGGTTTCATCTGACCATATGACATTCTCCCAATCCTCTTATGGATCATCCAAATTCTCTCTAGCAAACTTCAGACGAGCCCAGATATGTACTGGCTTAAGCAGGGGGACACGTCTGGCACTGCAGGATCTGAGTCCCTGGTGGCGTAGTGTGTTACTGATGGTAGCCTTTGTTACTTTGGTCCCAGCTCTCTGCAGGTCATTCACTAGGTCCCCCTGTGTGGTCCTGGGATTTTTGCTCACCATTCTAGTGATCGTTTTGACCCCACGGGGTGAGATCTTGCGTGGAGCCCCAGATCGAGGGAGATTATCAGTGGTCTTGTATGTCTTCTATTTTCTAATTATTGCTCCCGCAGTTGATTTGTTCACACCAAGCTGCTTGCCTATTGCAGATTCAGTCTTCCCAGCCTGGTGCAGGTCTACAATTTTATTTCTGGTGTCCTTCGACAGCTCTTTGGTCTTCACCATAGTGGAATTTGGAATGTGACTGTTTGAGGTTGTGGACAGGTGTCTTTTATACTGATAACAAGTTCAAACAGGTGCCATTGATACAGGTAATGAGTGCAGGACAGAGGAGCCTCTTAAAGAAGAAGGTACAGGTCTGTGAGAGCCAGAAATCTTGCTTGTTTGTAGGTGACCAAATACTTATTTTCCTCCATAATTTGCAAATATATTCTTTCCAAATCAGCCAACGTGATTGTCTGGATTTTGTTTCTCATTTTGTCTCTTATAGTTGAGGTCTACCTATGATGCCAATTACAGGCCTCTCTCATCTTTTTAAGTGGGAGAACTTGCAAAATTGGTGGGTGACTAAATACTTTTTTGCCCCACTGTATAGCGCCAATTTACGCAGCGCTTTACATATATATTGTGCATTCACATTACTTCCTAACCCTCAAGGGGCGTACAATCTAAGGTCCCTAACTTACATTCATTCATACATACACATACTAAGGCCAATTTGGACAGGATCCAATTCACCTACCAGCATGTCTTTTGGAGTTTGGGAGGAAACCGGAGTACCCGGAGGAAACCCACGCAGGCACAGGGAGAACAAGCAAACTCCAGGCAGGTGGTGCCGTGGCTGGGATTCGAACCAGCGACCCGAGTACTGTCAGGCGGAAGTGCTAACCATTTAGCCACTGTGCTGCCCCAGATATCTGCCTAACTAAAGGAAGCTGTTGCACCTGCATGAATACGTGGTCAATTCTGCAGAAACAGTCACGAGGATTGGAGTAGAACATGAAATCATGCTCAGTAGGGTGTAGTTCCCTCCAAATGTCTACCAGCCCACGCAGACTGCAGGAGCAAGCGCATGCGCTGCTCCTGCACCAAGTCATGGGAAAGGGTCATCCTCCGAGCAGAATCCAAGGTAACATTCAAATCCCCCAAAAGAAGAAGGCCCTTGGAATGTGAGAAAAATTTGTGCTGAAAGCGATTAGGGGCATAATAGGAGACAAAGGTGACCTCCTGATCCCAAAGGGAGCTATATTCCGGACGCAGGTGAAGGGGAGATTGTGTTTGAAGGCTATCAGAACACTCCGTCGTTTCTCAGGAGCTGTGGCCATGTAAAAAGTGGGGTAAAGAGGCAAAAGATACTGTGGGGCAGAGGACTGGGAAAACCTGGTTTCCTGCAGGCACACCACGTCAGTGTGCTGTGACGTAAGGTGATAGACTTTAGACAGCTTCTGAGGCGAATTAA